AATGCAAAAATGCCACTGTCAGCTGCCAAGCTGAGTAAACACCGTCCCCAGCACTGCAAAGCAGGAATTGAGTAGTCTGCCTTTTAACACTGGATGAACTATTAAAATATCACTGACTGCTGGGCAGCAAGCAATAATCAGAGAACTTGTAACAGCGGATCCCACTCAATCCATTTCACTCTGTTCCAGCCCAAATGGTTTGTCATCTAGGGCCCCATTTCACCATTGCCTTATACCTTGGGCAGTCATTTACAACAGTGTAAAGAGGATGTAAATACTATTGGTTTCATATGGTAACATTTTAAACTGTTATACATGACTATGCAAGATACAAAGCAAGGTAGAATCTAGCTTTAGACATAGCAAGGAAAGGTGAGATGCACTGGTGGCTCAGGCTCAAATTGGGATAATGAGAATAAGGAACATCTTTTTTTAAGGGGTGGTTATTATAATAATTATCACTATTGATCACAGTCCCTCTCTCCCTCTCTCTGAAAAAATAGTGTTTAATCCCTAAAGAAATCTAGGTAACAACTGATTAGCTACTTGGTAAAGCAGGGCTATGCATATTGGGTTCCTCTACTTTCGGTACATCCCACTGTTATTCCAAAAAAAGTGCCATTTCTTAATATTTAAACCATGAAATGTTGTTTGATCTGTCAACAGCCCATCCCACAACACTGAGCTACAAGCATGGGGCTTTGTGAACGCTGCTTGGGGACACCCAGGATGTTCAGATTAGTTCCAGGTTTCTGAGTTATTTTATATATTTCTGTAAGGCCCTTTTCAGCTGACTGCACCACCACTGCATTGCTTTAGTGGGACTACAATGCTGATATACCCTTGGAATATTTCAGTCTGATAACTTTTCCCATTAGAATTTTAATAACTACTCCGTCACATACCTACATCTTCCATCTCCTAGGGGACTAAGGAGAAGTCTACACCACAGCTGTGAGGTGCTTCCCAGCTTGAACAGACAGATACGCACTAGTTCTGCTTGAGCTAGTGTGCTCGGAATAGCAGTGTAGTGACGGCTTGGGCTAGCCACCCAGTACATTCCCAAAGAGTCCAGGTGGGTTTATACTCAGGTGGCTAGGCCAAGCTGTTGCTCATGCCACTGCTGGCTACACTGCAATTTTTAGTGCACTAGCCTAAGCAGAACTAGTGTGTGTCTGTATACCTGAGCTGGGAAGCATGATCCAAATGGCAGTACCCTATATGAAACCAGTCTTCTTGTCCACAAATAATACATTCCAAATTGTGCAACAGTGGGAATGATTCCTGCATTGTGACTAAATCACTAGACATCCAGGGGCTGAGTCTAATCACACTTACACTGGTTTTACACAGATGAACTTCACTGGAGTTACTCATAAACTTACACCAGTGTGAAAATGGTAACATATCCTAATGTGCAATTTAGTACATCACTGATGAACTTAGCCCAATCACTCTTTAAGGTTCTAAATGAGAGTGTAAGCTAGTGTTAAAGAGATACTGTAAACAAAAAAATCTGTGAACAAGTTTCTTTAAATAAAATAACAGATCCCCTTCATTAATTTTCTGGAGGTCACATATTCTGAATCAGAATTCTGGAGGTCTTTGGAACTAATTTGAGTGTGGAGATCTGGAAATCTCTATGAAACTCTCATGGCATCCAGCTAATGCCAAACTTTTGGGTTTTGTTGTTTATGTAGCGCATTCATCTATGCAGTTAAGACATTAAAAAAATCATTTAAAGGCCTAATCCATAGCTGGTGTAAATCAACATAGCGACACCAATAGCTAAGAAGTTGGCTATAATTTTTCTTTAAAAATACAAATGCTGATGAATGGCAAGTGTGACAAAGTTCCTCCTCTACCTTGGTGGGTCTTACGCTTATTGGCGGATTTGCTCGCCTTGGAGCGTCACGGCAGCCCTCAGTTTCGCTGTTTTTTGTGAATCCACAGTCCAGGTCAACTCCTCCTGTGTCTGACCAGGAGTTGGGAGGTTTGGGGGGAACCCAGGCCCGCCCTCTACTCTGGGTTCCAGCCCAGGGCCCTGTGGAATGCAGCTGTCTAGAGTGCCTCCTGGAACAGCTGTGCGACAGCTACAACTCTCTGGGCTACTTCCCCATGGCCTCCTCCCAACACCTTCTTTATCCTCACCATAGGACTTTCCTCCTGGTGTCTGATAATGCTAGTACTCCTCAGTCTTCCAACAGTCCGTGTTTCTAACTCTCAGCTCCTAGAGCCTCTTGCTCCCAGCTCCTTACACGCGCACCACAAACTGAAGTGATCTCCTTTTTAAACCCAGGTGCCCGGATTGCCTGCCTTAATTGATTCTAACAGCTTCTTGATTGGCTGCAGGTGTTCTAATCAGCCTGTCTGTCTTGATTGTCTCCAGAAGGTTCCTGATTGTTCTGGAACCTTCCCTGTTACCTTACCCAGGGAAAAGGGACCTACTTAACCTGGGGCTAATATATCTGCCTTCTATTACTCTACTGTAGCCATCTGGCGCGACCCTGTCACACAAGACAAAGGAAACCATTTAGAGGATTCTCATATTATCAGCAGGAAAGGGAAAATATGCACAATACAAGTTTTCCATGCACTGTACCACCTCTCTTCGGCAAACACTATTTCTAGGGATGAAAAAGTAATTCAGTATCCATGTCCATTTGGTCCTTGACCTCTGTACTAAGAGTCTACCAACAATGTCTCAGTTAGAGCCAATTGTATTGGGAGTATTTGAGATATGAACATTTGGCCAAAAAAAAAAAAAAATGAAATGAGGCCAAATAGCTTCCATATAGCAATAACTGTCCAGTTATAACTAATGTAGGCCAGATTCTAACCAGTGACCTGAAGATGAACCACCCAGATCCTATTTCATGAGTTCCTTGATTTCAGACTTTCTAAACCTTGCAACCACTGAGAAAGCCCACAGAAGTGGACCTGGAGCCCAATATCCTCCTTAGTCTGGAAGCTCCGCAGTTTTTTTTGTTTTTTTTTACAAAGCAAGAATGACACATTTTGAACTGGAGCAAACCTCCCCCCTCTACAGGTGTGCTATTCTGAAAATAAGTTTGATTTAAAATGTTCAACTGGCATGCCATTGTATTAATTATGTTTTGGCATAAATCAATGTGCCATGTTAACTGACTAAGTAACATGCCTCTGGTGTAAATTTGATGGTTTTCCATGTTACATTTGCTATTTCAGTGGATTGTTAAATGTCAAGTGAATGTTTTGTGCTGCCTTTAGACCTCACCTTTCCCAAGATATCCCAAAGATAAGAGTTCCTGGCCCTCATTCACATCACTCCTTTGTACCACAGAATATATAGCTGGTAGCAATCTGATTTCAGTTTAAATTCCTCCCCGTCTCCCCAGTAGAGCTCTGTAAAAGCAATCTGCAGCTGGGACTGGGTCTTGTTACCTCCCCCCATTTCCTTCCTTGTCTCTGCCCATACTCAAGGCCCTCCCCAAATAATAACAGCCTGTAAGATTATCAGATCTGACTCCATCCCCTGATGTTGCTCTAATGACTCTTGTATGTGGTTGAGCAATTCCCTCAGCCTTTGCCTCCCACCAGAGAGCAGGGATCAGGAGGTAGGATGTACAATTAGAGTTGAAGTGAAAGTCTGTATACAAATCTTGAGGAGCGAGGGGTTCCTGATTGAAAAGTATATGGGGAGGTGCAGTAGGGTTCCTCTGCTGACCCACCCTGTAAGCAGCTGTTTGAACACTCCAGGCTCACTCCTTGTGGCAGGTGCAGCTTGCTAACACTACCAGGTTACATAAAGGAGGTGAGAGCGACTGTCTGGGCAGAGAGAATTACGGTCGGAGACAGAGAGGTTTCTGCAGAGAAACCACAGAAACACCCAAGGCTGGAAAGAACAAATAGGGTAAGGTTTCTGTCATGTTGTGGTTTCAACAGCAAATAAATTCCAACCTCAGGAAGAGGATACATTTGCACCAGATTATGACTGAGCATGGGCACAATCTAGCTCCCTCTGAATTCAGTGGGGGTATTTCCACAGATTTCAGACCTGCTTCAGGTAAGACCCCGCTTTCTGTTCAGAGCAAGGAGGGAACCTCCCTTGAATGGAATCCATGCACTGTAACCAAGCCGTGCCTCTATTTTTAGACCAATTCACAGCATGTTCACTACTTAGCTTTCTCACTTGCTGACACAATTAGGTACCTAGGCATATGAAGCTCACTTCTGCCCTCAGTTAAATGGGTGCAATTTCTACTGCATTACCGAGGGATGATGAGCTCAGGTGTGCCCTCAGTGTCAAGCGGGCTGTCCCATTGTTTCATTGGGCTGGCCGGAGTGTCACTGAGGGCAGAATTAGAGACATTTCATATAAAGCGTTACCAGCTTTTTAATCATAAAAACAAATTAAAAGATTAGGGTCTGTCCATGCCTGGGGCCCCGAGATGCTGCTGCAATACAAATAATTACTAAGAATTATAATAAGGTAAAATTATAATTAAAAAGAAACCGATTTGAAATATGAGCACAGTTTTCTCGGGTTAAACATTTTATTAATAATGAGGAGGCCATGGGTCTGCCATCTCTGTAACCCCTCACTTATTTCCGAACACTTTTCACCTCTTGAAAAGTAATCTAACATTTGTTCCTGTTTAGAGCAGTCTCTGGAGTATTTAGACATGTCATCAAGTATTGAGCCCTAACTCTAATGGCATTTTATCTGTTCTGAATTTACAAAGACATTTCATTTTTTTGAGTTCAAGAAATTATTTTCTGTCTGCAATATGAAAAAAAAATCCCTGGTTTGCTCTTGGCTCCTTCCCTGTCTAGTCCAAACACTGAAAATGTCAAGTTTGCTCACTAATTAAACATGTCTGTCTTGGACTACACTTGTATCCTTCACCGTGATGGTGCAGAGTCCCAGGGAGACATTATACATTCATGTTTTGAAATACAGCATTTAAAAAAAAATTGTGTGACACAAATACAAACTTATTGGAACAATCTTTTAACAGGCAAAGCAATCATAACCTGGGAGAAGCGGAAGAACAGTCAAGCTGGTAAGTTCCAGTGGAGATCTGGATGGGAATTTCCTCAATATTTGGGGGCATTGGGATTTCACAGTTTTGGTTCAGACCCATATGTATTTATCTTTCCCTCACCCTACTAAAAACAAGAGTTTGATGTAATTTCAATTTCTGGTGGCAGTGAAGGGGAAAGGTGATTAGGGTGGTTGAATCACCAAAGGTTCAAAGTTCAGTTAGAACAAGCCACCAAAAGCCTAGCTGAACTATTCAGATGTGAGATGGAAATCTCCCAAGAGAAGGATTTCTTGCGGTTTTGTGGCATTTCTAATTTTGTTCTAAAACACAAAAAACAACATCCTCATTTACACAATCAATTCTGAACTTGAAAAAAATTATTCTTTTCAAGTACAGTTTTAAAAGTGGTTGACGCTTCACATGGTGCTTGTGCGTCTGGTGTTTCCTATTTTATTCAAGCCAGCTACACATTTCTAGTTTAAAAGTAACATTTTTCTATTGTCTGCCATTTCCTTTGAGAGTTCTCTTGGGACAGCGGTTTGTAAGGCAGGATTACCATAAGTGATTGAAATAAACAGGATCTTAACTGTGTTCAGGACACAAGGCCTCCCACGAAGATAGGACAAAAAAAAAATAAACAGCTAGCACCTCTCATGAAATGAGAAGGGAGAGAAAAGGAAAAGAAGGAAGAATATTTAAAATAGAGAGGAATTGTAATTTATGGTAACATATATGGAAAGTGCTCTAATACAATAATGAGCTGTGTGGCATAAATGCCTAGAGAGTTTAGATTATAACAGGATGAGAAGGGGAGGGAGGTTAATTTAAAAACTCCATTAAATAAAAGTGACAATAACAAGGTGAATTGAACAGTGGTTTTTAATGGATAATTTCTTTGTGTTCCCTAAATGTAGCTAGCACAAAGATGTCACAGTGATGATAGGTAGGTCTATCACATTAGCACTGTTTTGCAGGACTGGACCCTCTCCTGCACTGTTATACACATTTAAATATGTATCACAGAGAAAAGGCCCTCTGCATCTGATAATACAGTAGGTTCCATTTTGTACATTTGCACAAAACATACATATTGCTATTGTGTGCAGCCGTGACCCTGTATAAGAAAGTAAAAGTGAGCATAGCTCCATAAATAGCCATTACGTACACCACACTGTAGGCCCATGTCCTGCTGAGAGCAGACAATGCAAACTTTCCCTGCATGGGATGCTTCTTTAACCAATCATCAGTTCTGACATGAGTGCTGGCTGCTTGCCTCTAGCCCAGCCCACAGAACACAGCAGTGGTGTCAGCGCAGCTGTGTCATGTATGCTCGGACACGCTGAAAACTGAAAACACAGATCTGGAAAGATGCACCTGGAAAAACTGGCAATGCTGGCCAAACACTATGCAAGATGTTAACTCAGCATTATGAACAGAAATATGGCGCATGACAAAGATGACAGTCTCAAGATTACAGGATACACATGCATAGTATTGTAATTCTACAGTTGTACCCGATGATAATAATCTGTCTAATTGTGGCAGCAGTTTACTACTGGAATGCAATAGTCCAGAACTGAGTACCATGGAGGAAAAAGTGACATATGACTGGCTTTCTTGTCACTTGGTTTCTTAGCTCTCGAAATGTTCCTCAGAAGTAACGACCTGTACTGAAACTGCAGTACTATGGAGGCCTGACACACACCTTTTTCACCCTTCCCTGCCCACTTTTCTGCTTACGCAGGCCAAAGCAAGTTGGTAGCACAGAGTGGGTGTGTAAGATCTGGCCAACTTTTGCAAACATGATGATATGGAATATGCTGAGCAGGAGACAATGAGAAGAGACTGGAAAGAAAGACAAGTGCTTGGTGGGGAGGCAGCTAGGGAGGGAAAACTGGGCGAGTGGGAAAAGAAATGGGGTTGGTTTGGGTTAAAAGGGAGAGAATGAGGGATTTGTGGAAGAGACTGAAGAATTGGAAGGAGAGCGAGGGAGAGGCTGTTTGGGAAGGAGAATGGAGGAGGAGTGATTCAGGATATGCTGAGGGAGTAACAGTTAGAACTCATTGGAACTATTACTTTGCTCATTGCACTAAAATGGGAAGATATAAAGACTTAGTGAGAACTACTTGTAGCACTAAAGTAATTCTAAATCAATTAGCCGGATGCTTACTTGAGCAATTTAGACAATGGATTAAATACTTTTCTAGCTATATATCATGAGGCTTTTTTTTGGCCAGTTTATAATGCCTGCTGTTCTGCTCAACACTGTAATTCAGATAAAGATATGAGAATATTGTTTGGGTGTGCTACTGTCACATACTTGTGTTTTGGTAAATGGAAAGTTAGCAGGACTGTGCTTTCTGAACACATTTTCAAATGTGCAGGATGCTAAATTAATCTTTTTACACACTATGCAGGGATTTCTTGATTCTCCCCATTATAACTGAATTAAACCAAAAGGTAAACTTTTCAAAAGCTCTAATGACTTAGGAGCCTAAGGTATGTCTACGCTGCAGCAAGTCTCAGAGCTCAGGTCGACAAACTCAAGCTTGCGCTATGGCATTAAAAACAGCAGTGTAGCTGCTGTGGCTCTGGCTGGAGATTGGGATCTGAAGCATGGGATTGGGGTGGGCATCAGAACCCAAGCTCCAGCCCCAGCTGCAATATCTACACCACTATTTTTCATGCCGTAGCACTAGCCCTGCGAGCCCAGGTCTGTAGACCCACATTCTGAGCCTAGCTGCTGCGTGTTTAAAGCACAGAGTAGACATACCCTAAGAGTTCCATTCTCAAAAGTGTTATAGGCATGTAGAAGCCTAAGTTTCAATGAAAATCAGTGGGACTTTGGTTCCTAGCCACTCAGGAGATTTGAAAGGTAAGGGCAAAAGAGATGAAGGAGGGAATGCCAGGGGGGAAAGGCATTATTAGAAACTTTGGCTACATTTCCATCCTAAGCCTGGGTGTTAACTTTAAAAACAATCTTTAAAGTTATATATATTTTAAAGTAGTTGGGGCAGACGAGTTTTTAAATTGTTTACTGCCTAATTTGGTCCTCCTCATTTATTTATGAAAGGTCTGAGTACAGGGCCCAGTAAAGGTAAAATGAATTTTTCCTCTAGTTAATTTTGTACTTTTCATTATGATGTTGGATGTCCACACTGAACATCTTTACTGATAGTGAAATTTACTCCCATGCAGATGGTCCACACAATGGCACTCTATCACTTTGACCCTAAATTCAGGGCTTTGGTAGGTCTTAGGCAGAGCTTATGAATTTCACATAAAGAGAGAGCCTGGATAAAGAAGGAAGAATTCCCTGCCCCATAAAGGCCTAATTTTCAGAGATGAAGTGCATTTGCAGAAACAGTAGGCTTTAAATGAAGCTGTGGATGCTTGACACCATGAAGAAATCAGAAGACATCTTTGTCTAATTATGTCATGGTTAATAGGAAGTTAGCTTGCCTACTTTGAACTTTACTGTGCTGATGACCTTGCTTATAACAAGAAGACTGTAGATGTCTGCTTGATGAATGTGTGCTCTGATAAAGAAACAAAAGTTCTGCACTGGATTTAAGAAGCTTAGACAACAACAAGGTAATTCAGACAGATTTTTCATACACGAAAGATGGGTGAAACACGGGAAAAGCCTACTTAGGCAATAAAGGAAAGTAGTATAAATCTGTTAAAGAAAGGAGCATGACAACCATTTGTGAGCTAAGGTAATGAAATAGGTTGATTTGTATTTACTTGGGTTAAAAGGGTAGACCTTAATGGATATTATACTCATTAAGTTCTGTTTCATTAATTTCATTCTACAGCTCTGTGGGGATTTCAGTAGAGGATTTTAGATGCAACATGAACATAATATACATTGTATGTTAAGCAAAAACAGTTTCAGTTCATAAAACTTTAACAAGCGGTGACTTACCTGGACTAGAAGAGAAATGGCCAGAAATCCAGAACAAGCACAATGAGAAATCCAGCATTTGCTGGGATGCTTGAAGGGATCTATTTCTTTTAATACACAATAGATCTCTCTTAGGTATTTGTAAAAGCTCCTTTCACTTTAGTATCTAAGCACCAGAAATAGGCTGAAAATCTCTACTTTGTATTGTTCTATGCTATTGCAGCAGATTTCTTTTAAGGAGCTAGAGAGATCTGAGACACTTAGATGAATAAACCATCTCATCTCTGAGGGGATGGCAAAACACCTGAAACTCAGGTGTGAAATACTTAGACCACATGAACCACAGATTAGAATACCAGAAAAGGTCAATTTATCCTTCAAGAAACAATAAATAATTTGAGTTCTGTATAGTTTATTGTACAGGGTCTTTCTAAACAAAGAGTTTGTTTGCTCTGGATGAACACTGAAGATTCCATGGCACTTTTCATAAGAGGAGAGATTTGCAGGAGTATCTTTGCCCAGAATGTCCCCTCTATCCTTGTTGTACAGTGTGCTAGTTATGTCAAAGCTGCTTTTCAGAAGTGCTGTACGTATACATTATGGGCCAGATTCTTGACTGCAGCGGAGTTCTGTTCACACCCAGGGAGGGAGGGAATATGTTAGGGAGTCATTTGCAGCTACCTCATCCTCAACTGCCAACCCCAACATAGTCAATGCTGCAAGGGAGCAGCTCAAACAACACTAGCATAAGGTTCTCCCGGGATGTTACACCAGTGGAGAACTGGGCATAGCAGAGCTTCTCTTTGCCACACTCCCACCCCACCATACCTACCCCCTCTCCTTATGGTGAGGGTTGGGAGGCAGCTGGAGTGGTGTACATGATACAAACTGAACTTAGTGGACCAGAGAATCTGGCCCTATGTAAAGTGCTTTGGGATACTTCAAACTGAAAAGTACCATATATAAATGAAAAATATTGTAATGAACTGTCTAATGTGGTCATTCTCAACCTTTTGGGACTCAGGATCCATTTGTAAACCTTGATGGCCTGTTGCAACCCAGTAAATAGATTTAGTGCCAAAAACATCTGACTTACTAAATATTTCTTACC